ACCCCCTCCGGGTCACCCCCGTCCCTGCCGGGTGATGCCCACCCCGCCCGTGTCCCCCTGCCCAGGGTTTGTGTGCTCCCCATCCTGTCCTGGGGTTAAAATCCCTCTGGGTTATCCCTGCCCGAGTTACGCTGCCCCAAATTATCCTCCCTGGGTTGTATCACCTCGGAATCCTGTCCCCGTCCCGCGATTATCCCTCCGCTGAGTTCTTGGATTTATCTCTGCCCCAGGTTAAACCCCACTGCGGGTTTATCACCCCCACGGGCTAAAATCCGCCCCCCAGTTTATCCCCCTCCTGAATTATCCGAGTTTATCACCGCGGGTTTATCCCCCTCCCCAAATTATCCTGATTTATCACCCCTACGGGCTAAAATCCCCCCAGGTTATCCCTCTCCCTAAATTATCCGGGTTTATCAACCCCACCGGCTAAAATCCCCCAGTTTATCCCCCTCCCTGAGTTATTCGGGTTTATCTGTCTGGGTTATCCCCCTCTCTAAATTATCCGGATTTATCACTCCCACAGGCTATAAATCCCACCCCAGTATATCCCCCTCCCTGAATTATCTGGGTTTATCACTCCGGGTTATTCCTCTTCCTGAATTATCCGTGTTTATCAACCCTACGGGCTAAAACGGCCCCAGGTTATCCCCCTCCCTGAATTATCCGGGTTTACCTGTCCCACCCTGGGGGCTAACCCCCCACCCCAGTTTATATCCCCCTTCCTGAATTATCTGGGTTTATCTACCCCATGGACTAAAATCCCCCAGTTTATCCCCCTCCCTGTGTTATCCAGTTTTATCATCCCCTCAGGTTATCCCCCTCCCTAAATTATCCAGGTTTATCACTCCGGGTTTTCCCTCTCCCTAAATTATCCGTGTTTATCATCCCAGGTTATCCCCCTCCCCGAATTATCCTGATTTATCACATCCGCGGGCTATAACCCCCCCAGTTTATCCCCCTCTCTGAATTATCCAGGTTTACCACCCCCACGGGCTAAATCCCCCCCAGTTTATCCCCCTCCCTGATTTATTCCCCCCCAAGTTCATCCCCTTTTCCCGCGTTTATCACTCCCACCGATTTCCCTTCCTCCCTGAATCCCCCGCACTTCGCCCACCCTGGAATTCCCCCCATCCATGGGGTGACCCCCCCCAATCCCGGCTGCTTTTCCCCCTTTTTTCCCTC